ATTTTGGTTACATTTACACTTGATCATATTTTCCAGACAAAAAGTTAATGGTGCATCTCCCAAATGTCCCGGCCGCAAGAACGCTTTCATTGGTTCCGCTATCGGGACGGAACCAATAATGGAGAGCTGTTTTTTTTTTTATTATAAAAAAATAAAAATAAAAAATTGTCAATTTTAACATTTTATTTAGATTACAAAAATAAATCGTAATAAAAATTATCCTATTTATGATGTTTTAAAAAATAAGACCTACCAAAGACTGATTTAAGACATTTTAATACCAATTAAGGCCTTAATTTTATTTTGAAGAATTCAATGCCTTTTAAGGCTTTTTAAGGACCGGCGGGAACCCTGAAAATGCTCGTTGTGCTCATCAGACGCTCAAACGCTCACGACGCACTGCGGGACATTTTGCTACGCCTGGACACACTAGCTGCTCCAGCTGCCTCTGCTGCTTTTGGTGTGAACGTAGCATTAGAGGTTAACCTACGAACATCGCCGTCAAATGACTTAGCTGCTAAACAGTTTTTCTTTTATTAACAGATAAATATCTGAAGATCCTCAGTCATCAGGTCATGGGCAGTTTAGGCGGCTGGATGTGAAGTTTTCTAGAAGATGTTTTGCCCCTCATCCAAGATGCTCTGCTGCTCTCCACCTGAGCCGGACACACCTGGTGGAGGAGGACACCACCCAGGAGCAGCTGCTGTTCCTGGACTTCAGCTCCATCATCCTGCAGCATCTGATAGCTGCTAAGAGTTTGCTGCTCAGCACTGATGGCAGAACATGGAAGTAAATCATAATTACATTCCCATAAACCATAGAAAGAACCATAGTCTCCTCCTGAAAGGTAAAACCAGCAGTTTGGACCACGGTACCGGCTCCTAAAACCAGAACCAGGTTTAGAACAGAACTCCATGGTTCTGTTCTAAGCGACTTTAAATCAGCAGGCAACACAAGCTGAAGTATTATTTGGGTTTTTATTAACAGAACATCCGTATGCCAACAAATTCTGGATCAACTGAACTATTTGACAGGTTGGAGAAAGTTCTGCCGACCCGGTTTGACCCGATTCAGTCAGCCAGTCATCTCCTCCTCTTCCTCTGTGGTTTCCTCCAGCTGAAGCTCGTCCCCAGCAGAACCCGTCCCATTGTCCTCTCCGTCAGCTTCTGATTCTTCACCCTCCTCCTCCTCCTCCTTCCCTGTCTCCTCCTCCTCCTCCTCTGTCTCCTCCTCCTCCTCTGTCTCCTCCTCCTTCCCTGTCTCCTCCTCCTCCTTCCCTGTCTCCTCCTCCTCCTCTGTCTCCTCCTCCTCCGTATCCAGGGTCTCTCCGGTCGTCTCTTCTGGATCAGAATCCATCTCTAACAAATTCTCACCATCATCATCATCTTCTTCTTCCTCCTGGACGTCCTGATCCTCCATGTCTTCGATGATGGACTGAAGGAGGGACCGTCGGGACACCACAGACACGTTCCCTCCCCCGCTGGGGGAGCGTTTGGGCGTGGACGACCCGAGGACCTGGAAGGAACTCCTCAACTCCTCCTCTTCTTCATCGCTGTCGTAGATAACGGCTGCTTTCTTCCTCCTGGTAACAACGATGGACTCGTCTGCGGACTCGTTGACGGATCGTACCACAGACTTGTTAATGGACTTGTCCACAGGTCGTACCGTGGACCAGTTTGGAGACTCTTTGACGGACCTGGACTCGTCCACGTGTGACGCAGCGCAGCCGTTGGCGGTCCATCTCCTCTCTGACAGAGACTTGTCCACGTTGAAGCTGCCGTCCATCTGGAGCTGAGACAGCAGCTTCCGCTCCTCTTCCTCGCCGTCCGCCTCCTGGACGCCATCGTCCGTGTCCTCCAGCTCCAGGTTAAAGTTCCCGTTGAAGGATTCCAGCTCGGCGCTCATCCTGGAGCTTCCAGCTCTGAGGCTGGAGTCGGACTGCTGGAGATCTGAAACTCTTCTGTTCTGCAGAGGGGGGGGGGACTTTAGGGCGCTGTCAGGGTGGGAGGTTCTGCCGGGTCCAGA